TCTCTCTCTCTCTCTCTCTCTCTCTCTCTCTCTCTCTCTCTCTCTCTCTCTGTGTGTGTGTGTGTGTGTGTGTGTGTGTGTGTGTGTGTGTGTGTGTGTGAGAGAGAGAGAGAGAGAGAGAGGGAAGAGAATGCGTCTTTGACCTGGTTTGCACGAGGATACTTGTATCTCGATACGTTGTTCAATGGGAGCAAAAGTATCTGTGCTAAACGCTCCCATTGAATGATCAGGTTGTTCGAATATAAAATAGTTAATTTTTCGACTCTTTTACGTGAATTCAGTGAAACGAACTCCATACAATGTAGAACGAACTTTCAGAACAACGTGATATATACACCGCGTCTCTCGTCTATAAAACCACCAAAAAATGTTCAGTTTTGATACAGAGCAGTTAATATAACAATAATTAGCTAATATATAATACTAAGTAGACTGCGGGTCTTTGGGCAAAATCAAAATCGTATTCATTAGTTGCAAAATGCGGAAGCTGTGACATTCTTAACACAAATACATATAATAATTTAGTTTCATTTTTCTTTACCGCATAAAATTGATATCTTTTGAGAGAAATTTCTCGCCGCAGTCTCGAACATGTCCATATACCTACTTCGCTGGTTGTTGTATCAACCGCAATATACAAAGGCTGAACATTTTCCGACGGTTTTATAGTTACGGGACGCAGCGCTGTTTCGTTCGAGAACAACGAGTAATAATGCACGCGTTTCTTTACGGTCGGTATTTCTCGTACTCCGGTACCGCGATACAATTACGCTCGTGTGAGACGGGTCTCCGCGATCCGGCTGTGTGTGTTTCGGCGTGCGATCGCGGGTAGTGGAGGGGGGAAGCAGAGAGAACATCCGCAGTGAGCCAATAGCTCGCTGTGTCGCGGCGGAGACACGAAAACTGCGCCGGATCTCGGCGACGGTGTTGCGGAAGAAGCTCGAGGAATAAGCGTTCCATTAGCGACCGCGTCAAAGGCCGGCGGTGCTCGAGTGTCTCAAAGGTGAAAAGGAGGGATCCCTTCGCGGAGGGTACACTCCGCCGCCCTTTCTCTCGCCGCTCCCCCACTTCTCGCAGCCTCTCGGCTCTTCCTTTTCCGCGGGAACAAAAAACGAGAAGAGCGTGGAGAAAGGAAAGAAGTCGCGGGGCCGGCACAATGGAGGAATCAACCGCGAAACGCGGTGACCTCGCGTGGACTCTTGACCTTTTCTGAACGGATATCCTTCGCCGGCATTGCTTCGTGCTAACGATCCTTTCGACGCCGAGAGGGGCGGTAGAGGCGAGCGAGGGTGCTCCGGGGGTGGGAGGCCAGGGAAACCAGGGCATACGTATGTCATACATTCTCATGATTATGCATGAGAGGGTTGCCGGTTATACGAAGGTAGGACAGATCGATTCCGCGTTTCCCTGCGCGACTCTCTCTCTCTCTTTCTCTCTTATCCCCCCCCCTCTCTAAGTCCGACGTTCCACGCGATCACCCTTTCAGCCAATTATTTACCGTGTGCCGATCGGTAGTAGGCTACAAGGGGCGAAATGTCCAGGACAGTGGACCCGGACGACCGACGACAGGTGCTGCGGCAATGAATAAAAGTTGCAACGGCGGCGGTAATCGAAACGGATAATCGATGCGCTGCCGCCGCCGCTGTTCGCTCCCATGATATGTTTTTCAGCGTTGCAACTTTTATGCGCAACTCTGCGGAATCGTTCGCGGTTTAAGGGTATAATAACCGTGTAATAACCAGTTGGTCGATCGGACTCTATACCAGCGGGCAGGTGAACGAGGAGATTACCGGGTCGTATCGCGGGTCGCTCGTCTCGTGGGTGTTTCTAATTGGTCGGGCCGTGTCCGCGGGGCCCTACTTGACGGACTCGACCCTGAGTCGCCGTGGAATAGAGTCGCGAAAGTATTATACTCGGAGGAACTTTCCCGAGGACCGAACGGCGGCACACATTCGAGCCGTTAACTTCCTATTGCGGTCCAATTTCTAGACGACTTTCGAAGTTGATTCTAGGTCTCCGGCTGAAATCGCGCCGCTTCGCGGTTTACATAATCCTTGAAGAGCTTCGGATCATGCCGACGGCGCCGGTTGTTTTTCCGCGGCGAAGTTATCCGTTCTCGTGATCTCGTGTGGGTGACAAACGGGATTGATTTAACCCTGTTCTCTCTCTCTCTCTCTCTCTCTCTGCTCGGACCTATGCTACTCGAAACGGCGCCGACGAAAACAGCGGGACTCGTAACGACGCTGCACGAGCAAATTATACTTTAATTGCGTCATCGTTTGCGACTCTGGAAATCTTCAACGAAGAAGTTTAGGAAAATTCAGAGAGTAACTTCGAACCCCTTAGAATCTGCATGCAGAATACCGTTGGAGCGGAGATGGTGGTTTCCGCGAAATAAATTCGCAAAGCCGGGTCGACCGGGCGGCCCCTGTGAGCAGGCAACCCGCCAGCGCCGCGCGAGTTCGGTCGCGTTTCGACGGCGTTCCGCTATAGATCCGATCGATATCGACGCCCAGAGTTGGGCAGTAATCGATTATGTTGCTCTTTTAATTGTTTCTAGAACATCGTTTCATTGATTAGAACCCGATATCGAGCTCTCAAGTGTATCAAATTAATTGTTCATTTTATTCTTATCGCGACAATATTGGTTTCTCGAACAAGAATAATCGACGGAGCGTGACGACGGAGGGTGAATCATGATTGCTCAGCAATCGCAATCATCAGTCACGGACATTATTTCAGATTAGTCGTAAACGTTGATCATTGATCGGATTACTTTGCACCCAACTCTGTCGACGCCCACGCGGTGCTCCCGTCGGAGAGCGAATGTCACGGCGAAGACGGTCGCGTGGGCGGCGATGGATCGCGTGAACGTCGTCGGCTCTTTAGGTTTTCGATCGCGCAGCGCGGAGCGAAGCGAGACGGAGCGGAGCGGAGCGACGCGGCTTGACACTTCTTAACGGCAATTAATGTCCCACACGCGTCCGACGGAACGGGTTTCGCGAAACGAGACGACGGGGGCGAAATTTTTTTTCTCTGCGTAGAAACACGAAAGGTTAAGGCCAGCCGCTGCTGCCGCCAAGAAAGATCAATACTTTTCCCCTTGGTCGGTGCGCCGTAGATTTCTGCACAGGGCCGAGCCGTTCAGGCCGACCCCCTCCACGGTTCTCAAGACACCGGCCCTGCGTGCCCTATCGGCCCTGCCGTGCCCCTGTTCCCTCCGAACTGCCCGGATCGCACGATCCGCCATGGTGCCCCCTCTTTCCTGCGGTCCTAATTTTTTTCCATTGCGTTCAAAATACGACAATTCCACAACGCGGTAATCTACGATACCGATGCGAGCGAAGGAGGAGAATTGCATTTTCACGCGAGCCATTCGGCAAGGCCGTCGCGCGAGAGCCCGACGCGAACGTGTTCCCGTGACAAAGTATTATACCGCGCGGTTGCCGCAATGCAGGATGCATGCGAGCTAGCTCGGGGGGCGATCCGTCGCCAAACGAGACGAATAAAAGTTGAGAAACCGATGGCCAACTTTTTTCCCCGTCGAACGAAGCGCGAACTTTCGACCCGAAAAGCGATACTTTACAATCGGATTTTACAACCGGAGGCGGCCAGCTGTTTCGCGAGCGCGAACCAAACGGTATCGAGCCGATACGACGCGACAAAAGAACAGCAATTCTCGAGGATACGGTCGCGTGCGATGTCGCCTTGCGACGTCCAATCTGGTTCGCCGGGTTCTACGGTCTCGGTATCGGATCGCCGTTACATTCCTGGTTCCGTGGTGGCTCTCCGCGACCTCTCCGTTTGTTCAACGAATTTCCGGGGCTCGAGCACGGTTTAGAAATTCAAATGGCACCGTGGCAGCCGGCGAAACTGCTCTCGAGACGGGTGCTCAGACCGTGTTACCGGAGCCCAGCACGGAACGGCATCGTTGAACTTTCGATCGTCGCGGAACGATTCCGGTTGCGGAATAAACACCGACGCGCCGGAAGCTATCGATATCCGAACGATCTTGATCCGCTGACTCGGGATCGCGTGGAAAATCGCTCTCCTCTCCCGCAACCCGTAATTGTCTAACGGAAGCGGCGCCCGCCGAGTGGAACGCGAGCGGCAGATATTCGGCAAGTCCGGCGGTAACGCAACGCTTCCGTGAGCCAAACTAATTAAGAGCCGAAGCGGTTTGGTGGCTCGCGTGCGTTATTTGAAATAATAAAGCGGACGCGATTTAAGCGCGAGCCTTGGGGATGCGGGACACGCGAGCATCGTGTCGGATTTGAATCGTCCGTCGGGCAGAGGGCGGAGGGCGGGCCGCAGCTTGTTTAATTAGAAACGTAATTCGACGGCCCCCGAGCGGATAACAGCGCGCCGCGGGCGCGATTATTTCGACGCGCCGTTGTCGGACATGCTCCGATCTTGCGCGAGCGTGGATCTCGCCGCGAGGAATCGTGCGACAACGATTCGACGATCCACCCGTCGCGGATTCTTCCTCGCCGTCGGAAGTCTGACGCGGTCCTACGGAAGCGCGTTCCTCTGTCGCTCTCGATGGATAATAGCAACCTACGCCAGGCTATTTACCCTTCCCCGCGTCTTACCTAACCATGTACGAAGTCTCGAGGCTCGAGTTGGGCTAGTGTCACTCTTGGATACACTAAACTCTCCCTAATTGATGCTTTGAGATGTTTGTCCCATGCTAATGGGACAATTTGGGAAGAGGAGATATGATTATTTCAGTCTCGCGGCTCGTTTTCATAGTTACAATCGGTAATTATGAAAAAGAAGGCGCAAGGCTGGAGTAATCGTATCTCCTCTTCCCGAAGTGTCCATTTTCGTATACAAGTTGATTATTAGGGAGAATTTACTGCAACAACTCTTGCAAAACTCACGAACTCACAAGGCTACAAGACAACTCTCGCGAAACTATCTAGCAGTGCCCCTGGTAGGACTCTATCCACGAGACACCAGAGCACGGCTAGGCAAGACGCAGGCTGGGGTAAAAGGGCCTGGCGTGTCCCGCGTATACAAAACTACAGAGAGAAACTATGAGAGATTTACTCTGAGCTGGACACTCGAGTTTCCGCGAACTGTTCCACGACAAAGGAACGCGTCTCGTTGAGGCGGCGAAAATACACCTTGAACTCGAAACAGAGGAATGGTGAAACGTGTGGCATGTGTGCGTGTGTATCAGTCTCTGAGTGACTTACAAATTCGGATCGACTCTCCGTCCCGTCGGCGGAAGAGCGTAGGTGTCCCGCCGGCGCGGTGCGGCGTGTATGCGTGGTGTTCGCGTGACGTTTGCCAGGTGGCAACCGGAGGGAGGGATTCTCGCACCTTCGCAACGAGAAATCGCGTTGGAGGGTTCTGGCGCGGTGTCGTGCGCCCGGATCGGCTTCGAGGCGGGTTTTCTTTCTTTTTTTTGTTCCGAGGGGGTTTCCCGGGACGGGGACGAGAAACCCCGGCCGCTGTCACGGGGAGAGCGTTGTGTCGCGTTCGCGGATGGAACCGGTGGGTTGTTTGTAACCGCTACGTTGGTCTACGGGAGGCTGACGGACAGTGGGAGAATCGTCTCGGACGAGACGCGACGGGCGTGCTAAGTCTGGACCGTTGACGGACCTTTTGGTCGTTCGGCCGACGAGAAGCGAGGTACGCGGGGGATAAAGAACGGCGGCGGGTGACGGAGGTTGTGCCCGGGGTTAGGTGGAACGGGGTTGAAGAACGCGAGGAGATTTTCTACGAGCGACGCGACGACGACGACGGCGCGCGTCTACTATACCGACGACGACGGGCCAGCGTGTCAGAGGCCCAGCGAACTCGCGAACATCCGAGGCTCGTTCGCGGTGTCACCGATCTTCGCGGACAGATTCACAGGCGAACGCTTGGCCGAACTCGCAGGCACGCGGCTCGTGTGGCGGTCGACGCGGCGGACGCGCCCCCTGATACCACGCATAATGATCACTGCTCGGTCCCGGCCTCCTCCTTCGTACCGAAACCGGCAACCAAAACAAACGAACGGTTAGAAGCAAGCCCGGTTCGCACCGAGACACCGCCGACGATCGGTGCGCTGTCGGTCGCAGCTACCGATCGCGCAGCGGCCGTCGCTCGTGTTGCGCTCGCCGGGGACGAGGAGAACCTTTTCCCGGAGCTTTTCTCGGCCGCGAGGAACGGCCGAGCGGACGGCGAACCAAAGAAACAACTGTTTCGCGCGGCAGCTCCTCGTCCCGAACGTCTCAACCTCGAATTCTCGGGCGAAGAACGCGAACCTGTTTGCACGAGTCCTGCTGTGGATCTCCAAGCCGTGGCACGAGGCAAAAGCGACGATGCAACACGAGCGCAACCAGGGTCTCGCGAAGGGGTAGGCCGACGATCGAGCTTTCGTTTTCCCGTCGGGCGACCACCTCTCGACGCCCGTTTCTCGACTTTTTCTCTCTCGGGAGCGATGCGACTCGACTCGACTCGTCCCGACTCGACGATCCGTACGCGCGGACTCACGCTAGACGACTGCACGCGATACGATTACGCGGCCAGAGCCACCCTCTGGCAACCCGTTCGTTCGGTCGTACCTCCCACCAGACCGGGCCAAAGAAGGAACACCACGCCACGATTGCTCCGTGCCACGCCAGCCGAACCATTCGCCTCGTCCTTCGTGTCCTGCCTCGCGATGCCTCGTCCTTTCCTGCCCCGCCGAGCCGTCCTTCTCTATTTCTACCGCGATTCCCGCCGCGCAGTGCCGTGTCGTCCCACACCACTTGACCGCTGCGTTCGCGCGCGCTCTCGACACCCTTCGAAGAGGCCACGACTTCCAGGAAGAGGCGTATAACGACACCGGGACCGTCCGCGGGTCCTCCACCCGGAGAGAATCGACTGGCGAGCGAATTCTCCGAAGCGTTTCTAGGTCGTGCAAACGGACCTCCGAACCTTTCGCTCCGGTTTCGTCGAAAACGATCGACGGATCGTTTCGCGCAAGGGTCAGGCGGAGAAGCCTCGACGAAAGAGGAGAGGCCGGGCGTCCTCGAAAGATATATCGGAAATCGTTCGCGCGAAGGACGACGGGCCGCCCGACGGTCCGCGACAGAAATTGACAGAAATTGACGAGCGAACGGCTCGTTGGTTTGGAACAGCGACGGGGGCCGGTCGATTTAATAATACGTTTCGAAATCAAGTTTTCGAGAGGCTCCTCGGCGTCGAGTTCAAGGCATTTGTCGGATCTGGGACCAGAGCTTTCCGATAATTGCGGCGCACTTGTCGTCGAATCGGAAAGAAGTGCTCTTCTGCCGCATCGGACGCCCTCGACATCTAGACATGCTTAATTCCGGCCGATCCAGGGTCGATAGGGCGAACCGACTGGCCTGCTGACGGCAGCGAACCGTTCCTCCTTTCCTCTCGATCGACCAATTCTTCCTTTTCGCCGGCACGACGGAACTTCTACCGCTCGGAAATCCTTCAAAGCCTACTCCTTTTTCTCGTGCCGTCTATCTCTCTCTCTCTCTCTCTCTCTCTCTCTCTCTCTCTCTCTCTCTCTCTCTCTCTGTCTCGCCGAGCTGGATTAAAATTACTGAACCGTTGGGAATATCTCTCCGTTGGGGTGACCCTATCGAAAGATTGGAAAAAGGAAGATGGTTAGAAAGAGACGAAATACACGTTGGAATCCGCGCGCGGTAGATCGATACGGAACGCGAGCCAAATAGAATATTGTTAGCGGCTGCTTTGTACAAACTATGCGTCCGGAAAGCAAAGGAACGTCCGCTGGCGAAGAACCAGAACGGATTAGGATGCGCTCGTGATTCGTGCGCGAGCATATCTTCCANCTGATACCACGCATAATGATCACTGCTCGGTCCCGGCCTCCTCCTTCGTACCGAAACCGGCAACCAAAACAAACGAACGGTTAGAAGCAAGCCCGGTTCGCACCGAGACACCGCCGACGATCGGTGCGCTGTCGGTCGCAGCTACCGATCGCGCAGCGGCCGTCGCTCGTGTTGCGCTCGCCGGGGACGAGGAGAACCTTTTCCCGGAGCTTTTCTCGGCCGCGAGGAACGGCCGAGCGGACGGCGAACCAAAGAAACAACTGTTTCGCGCGGCAGCTCCTCGTCCCGAACGTCTCAACCTCGAATTCTCGGGCGAAGAACGCGAACCTGTTTGCACGAGTCCTGCTGTGGATCTCCAAGCCGTGGCACGAGGCAAAAGCGACGATGCAACACGAGCGCAACCAGGGTCTCGCGAAGGGGTAGGCCGACGATCGAGCTTTCGTTTTCCCGTCGGGCGACCACCTCTCGACGCCCGTTTCTCGACTTTTTCTCTCTCGGGAGCGATGCGACTCGACTCGACTCGTCCCGACTCGACGATCCGTACGCGCGGACTCACGCTAGACGACTGCACGCGATACGATTACGCGGCCAGAGCCACCCTCTGGCAACCCGTTCGTTCGGTCGTACCTCCCACCAGACCGGGCCAAAGAAGGAACACCACGCCACGATTGCTCCGTGCCACGCCAGCCGAACCATTCGCCTCGTCCTTCGTGTCCTGCCTCGCGATGCCTCGTCCTTTCCTGCCCCGCCGAGCCGTCCTTCTCTATTTCTACCGCGATTCCCGCCGCGCAGTGCCGTGTCGTCCCACACCACTTGACCGCTGCGTTCGCGCGCGCTCTCGACACCCTTCGAAGAGGCCACGACTTCCAGGAAGAGGCGTATAACGACACCGGGACCGTCCGCGGGTCCTCCACCCGGAGAGAATCGACTGGCGAGCGAATTCTCCGAAGCGTTTCTAGGTCGTGCAAACGGACCTCCGAACCTTTCGCTCCGGTTTCGTCGAAAACGATCGACGGATCGTTTCGCGCAAGGGTCAGGCGGAGAAGCCTCGACGAAAGAGGAGAGGCCGGGCGTCCTCGAAAGATATATCGGAAATCGTTCGCGCGAAGGACGACGGGCCGCCCGACGGTCCGCGACAGAAATTGACAGAAATTGACGAGCGAACGGCTCGTTGGTTTGGAACAGCGACGGGGGCCGGTCGATTTAATAATACGTTTCGAAATCAAGTTTTCGAGAGGCTCCTCGGCGTCGAGTTCAAGGCATTTGTCGGATCTGGGACCAGAGCTTTCCGATAATTGCGGCGCACTTGTCGTCGAATCGGAAAGAAGTGCTCTTCTGCCGCATCGGACGCCCTCGACATCTAGACATGCTTAATTCCGGCCGATCCAGGGTCGATAGGGCGAACCGACTGGCCTGCTGACGGCAGCGAACCGTTCCTCCTTTCCTCTCGATCGACCAATTCTTCCTTTTCGCCGGCACGACGGAACTTCTACCGCTCGGAAATCCTTCAAAGCCTACTCCTTTTTCTCGTGCCGTCTATCTCTCTCTCTCTCTCTCTCTCTCTCTCTCTCTCTCTCTCTCTCTCTCTCTCTCTGTCTCGCCGAGCTGGATTAAAATTACTGAACCGTTGGGAATATCTCTCCGTTGGGGTGACCCTATCGAAAGATTGGAAAAAGGAAGATGGTTAGAAAGAGACGAAATACACGTTGGAATCCGCGCGCGGTAGATCGATACGGAACGCGAGCCAAATAGAATATTGTTAGCGGCTGCTTTGTACAAACTATGCGTCCGGAAAGCAAAGGAACGTCCGCTGGCGAAGAACCAGAACGGATTAGGATGCGCTCGTGATTCGTGCGCGAGCATATCTTCCAAGCTTTTTCTTCGGAGACCTTGATACCGTCCAACAACGTTTCTTCTATCGGGGTCGGCCACTCGATCCCGCGGCCACGGCGGATCCTACCGACAGGGAAATACGTATCGTTAGCCCAGAGGATTCCTGCGTTGCCGGGACGGATGGCTCGTTGAGCGGACACGATTCTGGTGCCCGCGATTCGCGGGCACGTTTATTATTCAGCGGGGATACCACCGACGGGCCATTAGAGAGCCGCGCCGTTTATCGGTCAGCGTTGCAGCACGCTTTCAGCCACCGGGAGCCGCATATAAGCCGATGGACAGCGTCGGGAAAGTGGCCCGTCGGTGTGCACGCACACCCCGAAGGGCCGATCCGCTCGTGGGATGATAGGGGGTGGTGGGGCAGAGCCCCACCATCGCGCGGCAAATGCAAACAGAGCGCAGTCACATTGCCGCAGCTGGGAATTTTGTAAAGCCACCCGCTCGTCCCACCAATAACGTGCTGCAAAATCCTGGCCCGAGGGCTCGAGGCGCGCAAGCGTCGACCCTCTTGGCACCGTGCGGGGCCGACGAGATAACCGTGCGGACACTGACGCAGATTTATCAGCTCTCCGGTCGGCTCCGGTCGCTTCAACCTTCCGCACACGATGCAGAGAACTTGCGGATAAGGAGGCACGAGGTGAGAGTATCGTATCGCTCGCGTTCCACTTCGTTTTCGCTGCTCGGAAGAAACATGCGCCAAGCATCTTCCAGGGGATCCTATATAGTCCGCTCGGTGTTCGAGCATTTTTTTGCTTGAAATCCCCTTTCATCGAAGACGGATGAATCGTTAATTTGTCCGAGAACGAAGCAATGTCTCCAGACTCCTCTTTAGGACGACGACGCCGCCTCGTTTCGCTCTGCTCGAGGGGCACGATGATTGCAAGCTATAGACGCTCGGCTCGAGTTCTTTGAGATGTTAATGAATCCCGAAGTGGCCGTGCTCCCGTCGAGGTAATGAATAACATTTGCGCGAGCCGACTCGCGCGGCCCCGTTGCTTCTCCAGCCTCTTGTCGCTGCATTCCGATTAATGCATTCCGGGATACCGATAGCTTCACGGGCAAGCGATAGCGCCCTGTCCTTCGTTTCGCAGTGGAATGGCACTGGCACGCGTCCGTCGACGTGTCGCAATCGCTTGTTTACAACTGATTATTCGCTGTTACGTAAAAAGAAAGCTTGAAGCAAATTTTTGTCTTGATAAAAAGTCGTTGGAAATCACTCGAACCGGTAACCGAATGTACCGGCGAGATCGAATAATCGTCGAGGAGAGGACCGATAGGATGGTGCAGCAAAGCAATAATGTCCCTACGCGGCTCGCCTCCTTCGATCTAATTAGTCAAATGGCGAAGAATCTCTTCGCGCCGGTATGCTCTAAAAATAGGAATGGTTACCGAACGATCGTCATGCATGACGCAACACGTGGCGCGTGCAAAATTAATGGGTACAACTGCCTCGGATCGGAAGTTGACGGAATTAGAATATCTGACCTTTCTCTCGGAAGAGCGACCGGTACTGTTTCAGGCCGATTTCAGCGAGCCACTGGTCCGCTTCGGTGAGGTCCCCGTTGTTTCCGGTGGCAAGCATCAGAAGTTTGCCAAGGGACAGGACCATAGAAAGGGCCAGGAACACTCCCGAGAGTACGGTCGACCATCGTGCCATTGCCCGGTTTCCGGATCATCTTCAAAATCGAACGGTCATGAGCTCGCGACATGCTGTCGCCGGTCGGGTCGTGCGCTACGTCGGAGAACCGATATAGTGACTTTTTTTCGGCACCCGCTCGAACCTCTTTCTTTCTGCAGGTTCGCCGAAATCGAATTGAATTCCCGTACGAGTTCTCGCGAACGATCCAGCCTCTCACATAGGCTGGGACCAAAAAATAATCGTCACCTGGATCGGTCCGGAGCCGTCGGCTTTCGGTAAACCGCGGACACCACTTCCGTTCGGCACTGCACTGCTTTTACAAGAGTCACTATATTTGTTCGACCGAGACACTACATATAGTCGTCGGCTGTTAACAGGTTATGTGGGTTCAGGTATTGGAGGTTATGTCGCCGCGGTGTTTGTAAACAAGGCAGGTGTCCGTCGAATGTAACTAGACGGTCGCTTACGTTAAATAGGGCTTACCACATTTTCAATAGAGCTAATCGTCGACACACCGCACGATTGACAATGCTGCGCAGTTTTATGGATGTAAGAACCGTGCGTGGTCGGACAGAATCGGGATAACTGTAGATGGAGTGACAGCTGGGGGACACTGTGAGCATCATAGGGACTTCGCGGGCCGATTACATTCCATGGTCGGACTGCGGATCGATTGCGAAGGGCATCGTCGTTGTCGCGCGTCGGTAAAGCGGCGCGGCGCATTTCGTCGATAAGTTGCGCCTACCTTGCCTCGTACGGTAACGCGAAACGATCGGTAAAGAAAACGGAAAAAATCGTTGAAATCGTTCGACGATCTCGAGTGCCTTTATTCGGGCGGAAAAGACGGGCCCGTGTTCGTCGACTTCGAATTGTATGAAAGGTAACGACCATAAATCATGAATTACCTATCTGTGAACCGTTAGAGCGCGGATCGCGCGAATCGCGAAGGAAAAGAGAGTGCGAGAGCGAAATTCACGGCGCACCAGGAGGAGCCTATGCACCGGGAACGCGGTCGTAAATTGGTCGCCGATAAATAATGGACGAGTCTTGTTTTGCCGGCCATAGCTGCTAAAGGAGGCTGTGTTAACGGTCCACGGAAGGGATCACTGCCGGTGCACGGACGTCGTGTCCTCGACATTGTGATCGTTACCTTCGCATGTCGAATGCGACCGAGTTCCAGCTAGAAGAAGTAGTCTGCCGGGTAGTGGTCAGCAGTCTACCCCACTGTACCTGGCGACAGTTTTCAGCGGAATAGGTTAAATTCCGTTACGTTTCATTGGATTTCGAATCTGTTACTTTCCGTTCGCGGGTGGGAGCACGTTAATCGCTGAATTTAAATGTTACGCGGATCGCTCGTTACCCGGTCTTGGTTAGGTCTGCGCTAGGATCGCTGGTAGGCCGTTAAAAGTTCGAATCGGTTCGTCGGCCCTCCGCGGCGCTCTTCGATAGCCAGCGGAAGGTAGCATAGCTTGCGTTTCGGTTCGTGCTGCCCGGTTGGACATCCGCTAACCTCGTTAGCGCCTAAACAAGGTATCGAAGACATCGCATGCATTCAATTACAGTCGTGTCATAAATTGCGTCCGCCTATAAATAGAGCGGTCTCCTTAGCTCGGCTATTAACCGATTCGTTGTAAAATGTAGCGATCTCGTATCGGGCACCAATTATGCAACCTGTTCCAGCTCGTGGCGGCGTCGCATCTGAAACGCCTCTGGTCGCAACAACTTTTGATAAGTTGTACAGCTCTGCTCGGCGAATGAGGAATCGCTATCGCGCGGCTATTTAATCAGCATATCCGATTACTTTCTCGTAAACATATTCGTTTCAGATAGGGCGAGACGGCCGGTTAATTGCAGGTGCCACTGGCAATTTTCGATCGATCAACAACTTGGACGCCATCGTTCGCGCGCGCAAAGCGTCCGTTGGATAATTTCCGGCGATTAGATCGCAGGAGACACGACGTAAAGTATCCGGACGGTGTGCAACGATGATCAACGAATTTTGGTCAGGCTATTGTCGGAGTTGACCCCGACGTTACAGTAAGGATGAACAAACGAGAAACAAGAGTAACCGTGTACGGTTCACGGGAAAGTAGAAAAGCGATCTAAAGCGGTGTCTAATCAACGTTTATGTCTAGGTAATTATTCGCCGCGTAGGTTTCCTGAGGCGCAGAGGCCTTAATTTGTGGCAATAAACGAGCAAAGAACGACGGGAATCGAAGTGGCAGAAATGGATCGTGACTTCTTTGCCGAATGGCTGGCCTGCACCGTACGCCACACGTCGCCCCCCCCCTCCCCGCCCGGTTAACGAGGAACAACGTGGAACCGTGTGTTGGTTGTGCCGAGTCGACGGTCCGGTTCTACGACGGAGGTGTCAATCCCATTATGTCTGCCTGCTGATCCGTTCAGTAACCGGCAGCAAATCGAATCAACAGGTTCTACGGAAAATAAAAGCCGCAAAATGCGCCAAACGACTCTACTTTACTCGACTGGACACGACATGGCGAAGCCTCCTGCGTCACGCAACGATGACACGTTTTACACTTTATCTCCAGGATGAGCCCATTAGTCTAAGTATATGGAGAATGCGTGTAAACATAGCGTTACCAGATGTCCGAGATCGAATTTTTCCCTTTCCTTGCAGTGTCCCGGATCATTTTTACTGGAATACGGTAACCCTGTGTAAACACCGTGTTTATCCAGTAGCGGTAGATTCTGGGTCCATCGCTGCAACCAGCATGGTCACCGGCGTCGTCATCAAGCATCGACATCGGCATCGGTAACAGCCAACAGTTGCTATCCGAAAGTATTTCTTCGCCGGGCGATCCAGACTGGCTTTTTTTAATTTTCGCAGGGATTAACGAACAGGTGTACCGTGTACCTCGCGACGGCGGCGCTCGAACGTTTAAAAGGTCGTTAAACAGCGCCCTTGTCCGCTACCAGGCTGAATATTACCGCGAGCCAAGAGGTGACAGGACCTGATGGTAATTTAGAGAATGGCCGGAGAGCATGGCCGGCTCGCTGTGTCCCGGTTGCAAACGCGTTGCACATTCGCCTTGTCCGGTCGCATACTTTACGAGTTCCCCTGTATGGTCACGAACACGGGACACTATACCGCACCGCTATACTTCGCCTTGACAGCGGCGAAATGTTTATTTAATACATGGAATATCCCGATTCTCGGCTCCGCCGAGGATCTACACGGTGTAGCCCGGCCCGGCCCACGACTCCTCTCGTTTCTTTCAATGCTCCGCTCGTCGCTCGTACATCTTCGGCCCGCCTAAACATTTCTCCCGTCGAACGGAACTCTCCCGCGTACGAGATACACGCGGGATACTTCAAGGGGAGGAAGGGGGATCGGTGATGCCGCTGTCGAGGCGTACGCGAGCCTTGGAAATCTCGGATACAATTTGTCCGAGCATCGTCGACCGTTTCTACTCTGTCTCCGACATGCATCAGTTTTCACCACGGCGCGCATATTTGGCGCGCTCACTGCCAACGACACTGCGGCGTTGGGTATCAAACTTTGTTCGTAGACCACAGTCCGGTCTAAATTGTTTCAGAATTCACGGTAGAACACATGTCGTACTTGGCAGTGAACGCTGGACGATCGTCGAATGGAAACAGCGAGCGACAGACGGGACGCGTTAACTTTGTAAGTTTCGATACGCGGCCGTCGGCGTACGACGATTCAGTGATCAAGCCTCGGCGTCGATTTTTGCGATTCCGTTCGATCCGGCCGGCTCGCATGAAATACGAGCGAAATCGCGGAGAGAATCCGGCGGAAGTGGGCGCGGTTGCGCGGCCTTCTTCGAGATGCGCCCGTTCCGATAGACAACGCTGCGCGACACCGCGATTATTAATATTTCTCCGTCGATCGATCAACGTCTCGTTGGTTAGTTAACGGCGCGGGTATTGTAAATCATCGATAAGTTAAATGGTGCCGCGGGCGAGCGTATCCTGTAGCGTCGCGTGACTCGGCTGCTATTCAAGGGGAATCGGTGCTGTTGCGGCGTTGTGCAGCACGGCTCCCTGCGAAACGATGCATCGCGTTTCCGAGCGTTTATTTTAATGCGAACGGACGAATGGACGAACGATCGCGCCTCGCCTCTGCGCTTTAATAATCCCCGTTTCGGCTCGATTTCACGCGGCTAATGATTCTTAACCGCTCCGCGCAGCGCCGCGCCGTGGGATTATTAATTAATCGGCGCATAACGGTGCAGAGGTTGTCCGGCATAATGTTACAATAATTTACGACGCCCGTGGTCGGGCGGACCGATCGCAGGTGCTCCTCTCGGGTCCGCGGTCGACCAAAGTGGATCACATTCGTGGTGCCTCGTCGCGAACGCGAACGCGAGCGCAAGTACCGGGCGCGTTCCCGCCGTCAAATTATCCTGTTGTCAGACTGGTATCGGTGGCGCGAGCCTCCTTTGATCCTTCCGAGGTTTATGGAACCATGTCCGAAGGAAATACGCTGGAAAATGCGGCCATTAAATCGGACACAAGCCGCGATCGCGTTTATACGCAATTACGGGGCGTAGACGAAGGCGAAGCGAGAGGCGAGCGAGAAGCGAAGCGAAGGCGAGGGCGGCTCGCGGCTGTTCGAACACGCGCGCCACTTAATAACTTAATCTGTCGGACGAATCGTGTCGGTACGGTTCGCGTGTCGACGCAGCCTCTCTCTCTATTTCTCTCTCTTTGTCTCCCTCTCTCTTTCTCTCTCTTCCGCTCCCTCTCCGGCGCAATTGAAAACCAGCGAAAAGGGGGTCGATCGCGACTGATCGCAAACAAAAGCCGCGATAGAGGCGAGAAAGCCGGTTCGCGAGCCGCTCGCGCAGCAACGATCGCGTCCCGGCCTCTCCGGCGCGGAAAAATACGGGACAGGCTCGCAAGATGCAGCGTTTATAGACGCGTATAATGAATCCATTCAAATTCAATTCGCTCGGAGGGTATGTGTTCCGGGGACGCGCGCACGCGCGGCTGCGGGCCCAGCGGCTCCGGAGCCGGGTCCCTCGCCTCTCGTCATTTATTATTTCTTACCGCGAAAATTTATGATGCCCGTCAAGCCCGGACGAGTGGGCTCGCGGACACTTTGTTTCCCATAAATCATTCGCGGTGGAAGCCCGATTTAAATCGATTTAAGCGTCGCACGCGCGCACGCTCGGCGCGGGTTTTAGGCTGTTCACCGCGCTCGATCGAAGGTCCTCGGCAAGGACACCTCGGTGTGCGCCTACCCGGCATGCTCTGCCGCGCCGCGGCGTGCAGGACCGGCCCGTTTCGTAACGACGTCCGAACGACCCGGCGAACGGGGTCGTTGCTCGACCGTTTCGTTGTTTTAAGGCCGTCGTTCGTGAAGCACATGCAAAAACATGCGAATCGTTACACGTAGACGGTCACCTGGCCCGGTTGGTCGGCCGGCCGGTTGCTCGGTAGGCTGTTCCCGGTGGGGGCAGATCGGAATACCTGATCGACGGTTTTTACAGAAACGCGTCGAACGTGTTACGTCGGACGCCGAACGATTCCTCATTCGGTTCTCTCTCCGTTTCAGACACGCGAGCGCCCGACACGAACCGGCGCACGCCCGTGCGGACGGATCTTCCCTGCGGTCCCTGCTTCGCGGACCAAAACAATGCCGGGAAAATCGAACACGGAAATCTTGGCACTCTCGACCACGGAGCGAGCAACCATGTGAAACGCGTAAGTGGGTTAACGTTCGAATCCGCGAACGAGAATTCGCGATACCGCGACCAGCGTCGTCAGCGATGCGTTTGTCCCTTCGGCGAGCCCGAAATGACTTGGACTCGATGTTCGTAGGGTTTTGGACGGCGCGGCGGATCTCAAACGGGACACCCTGTACGTGGATTTTACGGACCGGGAGATAGGTGGCCGATGCCGGTGAACGATCCCCCCTGATCTCAGCCGAGACAGGAGAAGGTTCGGATGCACCTGCAACCGCAGCATCGAGCTGGCGAGAGGCCCCGCCACACATTAGGCTACCTGTTGCCTCGGGCCATTGCCACACTTTCATGGGTAACAACAGGCCGCGCGGTTTTTTTTCAGAGCCCGACCGCGCGGACATTAGGAAAACCGGCAACTGGAGCACCGAGAGCGATTTCGCCGAATCTAGGAGAGGCACGAGCGCCGGTGAGAGATCGGCTTCGCGACCTGTCTGAACCATGGATCGATTCACGATAAGATTATCGAACGGTCCCATTAGAATCGACGCGCGCGGGCGCCGTTCACTGAGAAAGTTCTTGCGATCATTTCGCTCACGTGTCCGATTAGCGCGGCTCTCGCTCGCTGGCAGGCCGCGTACGCCACGCACGCTCGCGTGCTGTCCGCGATATTTCTGTATTAATTAATCGGCGATCACAGGAAACGCAGTCTTCTCGGAAACGGCCGTTCGCGACGCGACGCGACTTCTCCGTTCGCAGTTTGCGCGCGTGAAACCGCGGCTCGCGCCGCGCCGCGCCGGTTCGAACGTAAGTAGGAAAGGAGACTAATGTCGCTGTCGGTAACAAGAAAATTCCCCCCGTGATCATTCGATTAGAAAGTGCACCCGTTCAAATGTAAATCGACCAGCCGATCGCGCTTACCCGAACACCGAGCCCCGACGTCTTCGCCTCTCGACCGAGAACATTCCTTCGCCGCCGGAACATTTACACTATTAATCGTCTAACTTTCTCAATCAAGTTTCCCATCGAACGGGGTCCGCGCGGAGGCCGGTTGGTTATCAGGGTGGATCGTTCTCTGAAAAGGAAAACGATCCTTTTTCCCCACTTTTCCCATTCCGTCGAGCTAAAGTCTTCCGATGCTTCGCAGGTACCGCGAGTTTCGTAGAGTCCAAGGAACGTCGCCGCGGAGGACCAGGCGTTGGAGACAGATGGTCTCCCGTTTCGCGGTGATACCGCGAGGGCAACGAGGAGGCGGAGGAGGACAAGGTGGAAGATGAGAAGGAAATCGAAAAGGAAGTCGCGGAGGAAGCCGAAGAAGAGGTCGAAGTGAAAGAGTAAGAAGCGTTCTCCGGTGAAGGAGGAAGAGCTGGCCTACAAACCGATGATTCTCCGATCTCCGAAAAGGAAAACGATCCTTTTTCCCCACTTTTCCCATTCCGTCGAGCTAAAGTTTTCCGATGCTTCGCAGGTACCGCGAGTTCCGTAGAGTCCAAGGAACGTCGCCGCGGAGGACCAGGCGTTGGAGACAGATGGTCTCCCGTTTCGCGGTGATACCGCGAGGGCAACGAGGAGGCGGAGGAGGACAAGGTGGAAGATGAGAAGGAAATCGAAAAGGAAGTCGCGGAGGAAGCCGAAGAAGAGGTCGAAGTGAAAGAGTAAGAAGCGTTCTCCGGTGAAGGAGGAAGAGCTGGCCTACAAACCGATGATTCTCCGATCTCCGAAAAGGAAAACGATCCTTTTTCCCCACTTTTCCCATTCCGTCGAGCTAAAGTTTTCCGATGCTTCGCAGGTACCGCGAGTTCCGTAGAGTCCAAGGAACGTCGCCGCGGAGGACCAGGCGTTGGAGACAGGTGGTCTCCTGTTTGGCGGTGATAACGCGAGGACGACGACGAGGAGGAGGAAGCCAAGGTGGAAGATGAGAAGGAAATCGAAGAGGAAGTCGAGGAGGAAGCCGAAGAAGAGGTCGAAGCGGAAGAGTAAGAGGCGTTCTCCGGTGGAGGAGGAAGAGCTGGCCTAGAAACCGATGATTCTCCGATCTCCGATCGGCCGGTGGTCGTTTTCAGGCTTCGTCCCCCAGGCTCGACCGCGTCTCGTCCAGCTCTCGGGACCCCTGACAGCCCCCCTCGTTTGACTGGCCGTCGTCGACGACGATGGTAATGGTAAATGGCCCATGGAGAGGCTCTCCGGTCCGCGCCTCCACTGGAAACGGGAGCACGCCACGTGAAAGTAGGAAGGGGAGGCTATAGCCGGACCGACGTCGCTTCGTGCGCCTCAGTCGTTCGTGGACCTCGAAGGACGATAGA